GGTTCAAATCTAAAGAAGCTGCACACAGTGCCCTAAATCAGAATAGTGAGAAAAGCATTTGTTAATCAGTCTACTAGAGGTTGGTGGTCTGAATCTGTAGTGTTGCACACAGTGCCCTGAGTGAGAATTGAAATATAAGGATCATTCTAGATCTACTAGAGGTTGATTGTTCGAATCCAAAGCTGCACACAGTCTAAGTCAGAATTGTAAGGAATTAAGCATTTTGGATCATTCTTAGTTAGAGGTTGATCAGGTTCAAATGCAGAGAAGCTGCACACAGTCTGTGAGAATTACAAGGAAGGCATTTTGGATTAGTCTTACTTAGGTTGATGGTTCGAATCCAAAGGTGCACACAGTGTCCTACGGAGCTAGAGAGAATTGTAAGAAAGTCTTTTGTATCAATCTACTAAAATCATGGATTAAATGAATGGCCAAACAGAAGTGTACAATCAATTGTATTAAATACAAACACAGCTACAGAACATTTTGTTCTGCAGAAACTCTCAGATATCAAATGAACAGTATGATAGTACAGGACCTGAGACATCTTGACTGAAAAGAATAAGTTGTGGTTATTACAAGCAAATGAACAATATCAGCCTCAGTACAATTTACAGCAGTCTGTGGGTTTGCTGCCATTTTGTGCCAATTTATTGTAAGAAATTCACAATTTTTTTACAATTTGAGGTCATTTTCAGTCACCACTGCTGAGAGGCATTCAGTGTATCACTAGACTTAGCTTTAAAGATAGAGATAGCTTTAAACAAAGTCGATCGGTGTAATATAGTCAGCTGCCGCCGCTCTGCGTGCCTGCGAAGCTGGTTTGTTACGCTGAAAGGCAGTTATACCGGCTATACAGATACAGGATGGCCTGCAAGGGGGGATCCCGACAACGCTCTACAATGAATTCGGAACCTCTCGATTACGCTTTACGATAAATTCCAAGTGGCCACAACGCATTACGTAGAACGCCGAATACCCTCTACGCAAACATATTAGAGCGGTCCGCCTACGCTCTACGTAGAATTAAAACGGCCGATTACACTCTACGGAAAAGGGCTTGCGGGGCCCCCATACAGATACAGACTGTTGCCACTGCGATGAATCTTGCACATTAGCAATAAGAATCTGTTCAGATGGAAAAATATATCTGCATCCTCTCGCTCAGCCTTGAAGTTGTCTTGTATTTTCTGCTGCATACTTGAACATCTAAAATCACCTCTACTTAAATTTTTACAATACTGGACAATGTCCCTCCCTGGGTGTAATCACAGACCAGGGGGTCAATGACCTGGCGCAACCAGTGATGGTGATGCAAAAACAAAAAAGTGAGGCAATAATATGTCATCATACATATCACATTGTCTGGTTTGGTGCCCCCTATACCGGAGTGCACCGGGTTAAATGGTTATTGCATCCCTGTACTGGGATGCCATTATACTTGGCAACATACTGCCAATCATTCTGTAGGCTCGTTGGCCCCTATACTGGGTACCATCTATTAGTTCAAGCAGACATCAACCTCAGTTTAATTAATTGATTTTTATAGCACATGATAGGTTCTAGTTATGATGCACATGATAGCCTTCGGCGATATCTGTCTTGTATAAGATGCTACGGCGATATCTCAGTCTTTTATGTACATGCTCAGGATAGAACTACGGCGATATCTGTCTTTTATGTACATCCTGGATAGAACTACGGCGATATCTGTCTTTTATGTACATCCTGGATAGAACTACAGCGATATCTGTCTTTTATGTACATCCTGGATAGAACTACGGCGATATCTGTCTTTTATGTACAACCTGGATAGAACTACGGCGATATCTGTCTTTTATAAGTTGGTAGCCGTCAATCATTTTCTACTTAACGGTGCACACCCCAGTTCTTCCGCGACCGGGGTCCGTGATAGTCCGTTGTAAAAAAAGTGACGAAAGGGTTTTGAGGGTCCAAGTTTGAGGTGACATTTCTTATAAACTGCCACGAAGTATCATTAAACATTAACATGGCTGAAGAGTGTAAGAAATGGTGATTTTGGGTGAAAATTTCTTTTGGCTCCGAACCTTACTTCCGGGTATCCTTGCGCGCCAAGTGTAATCCGCCCGTTTGACCTAGTTTTCGCTCTGTGGCTTCGTAGGGGTGGATTTGCAACCCCTCGCGCCGTGGACTGTTTAGGAAATTACAGTACTAGAATTTTCTTT